GGATTACTGATGGTTAGCTACCATCCGTCGCTCCCTTGTCGGCTGTACCGTTTACCTCTCTGCTTGGATCTCCATTTGCCCATTAAAATGTCTTTGCTACATAAGCAATATAAAATGTTCACAGAACATAAGCCATTAACTAAACAGGAGGGGGAGGGGCTTGGGAGGGATGGTGGTTTCTTATGATGTCAATGAGCCTGTTGGGGCATTAAAATACAGTTGACTGTAAAAGGCAGGCCAACAAAGCAGGAAGCGGCCGAAAGGAATGAGGCTCTGAGCAGCACACTGCAGACACACCCATCCGGCAAAGCAGCGTATGGCACTTTTGAGTACTTTTGCATTAAGTTCCTTATTTTTCAAACGGAAAATTTTCATTTTCTTTGGAAATTTTTCCTCTTCTCTGATCTAAGTTCCCTTGTGCTTAATGTACTCGGGAGAACTCTTTGAAGTGGTCTCTTTGAGTGCAACATTACTGCTGAACAAAGCAGTCTGACCCAGTTATCTGTGGGTCTTTTATTATTCTGTCTGTCTGTCTGTCTGTCTGTCTCTATGCATTCTGGTATACCAAGCTTCAGTCTGTCATTGATTATATTTCGTCCAAGCTTCTGTGCCATCTTAAAACCTCACTCATAAAATCACTAATTAAGATGAGAAATGGCATCTTCAGAATTCTGCCGCTGTTAGAAAGGCTAACGTTGAAATATTTACGTGATCTTCGAGTGATGGACATGCTGTTAAAATGGACATGCTGTAGTAAATAATGCATTATCTGTCCATAGAGCCTGTTTTGCATCATTGCGCCACTAGATTCAACTGCTAAGCATCACTGGTTTTTATTGCATGAAATTTGTATTGCTGTCACATTCAGAAGTCTTCATCTTCAGAATTCCTGGCACAAATGCAAATAATGATATTAACAATTACCCATCTTAGTGCTGGAGGTCAGATGTAAGGTATATTATGGAATTTTATTAACACTGCCCCCCTCTCCAGTTTAAAAGAGGGAACCCTCCCCAGAATGAAAATGGTGATGTCACTGAAGGGTGGAAGTGGTTTGTTGTGACTTTTGGGAAAGGATGGAGGGATTGTTTAAAGGAAGGGAAGAAAATGTCTCTGTGGATAAATTACACTTTATAATCATGTTACTTCAGATCTTATTCACTAAAACTTGTTTACACTCCATATGTTGGAAATGGCATTTTGGATGCATAATTTTGCATATAAATATCAGCAGGTGGAACGGTAAGCAAGGGCCTTGTGCGGAGGGTATTAATTACCACAAGCACCTGAAGACGCAGGTGTTCTTTTAATTGCCATTTAGATATCCTACCAAGACATTAAGCAGGCCCTCTGAATGAGGGAGACGGGGCATCGTAGCTGCGGCCCCCATAACACGGAGCTGAGATGCAGTACACAGGCTCAATCAAGCTGCCGTCTGGCTAGTGTTTTGTAAAGAAGATCAGGGTTGACTTGAACATAAACTTCTTTTTACATCCGCTTATAGGACAGTAGGCCTTAAAGAATATGTGCTAGCTTTATTTGTTTAATTTGATACAAAGAATACGTGTAGGAAACTGAACCATTAAAAACCAAGTTGCAAGCACAAAAGCAAGTCTATGCGGTAAATGTGTGTTTTCCAGCTGAGTTTAAATGATCTTGTCAGAGCAGCTGCCCTGAATGTATAACATGAATTGGGTTGTAATTGACTGTATCTTTTGGCTTCAGGTGCCATGGAAATAGAAAGGTAACTGTGAGACGACTTCATCAGAGCAGCAGATGGTGAAGAGGACCTAAGTCCTGTTTGTCTTGCCTTGTTTCCTCTGTTGATTGAAGAGATTTCGCTGCACTTTTGTGAAAAGAGACGCAATGATAAGAGTGACAGAAACATGGCGATCTTTTGTACTGTTTTTGTAAATAGTAACAATCTCATAATCAGTGAATGCAAACAAGATTGGTGGTGTTTTTCTGACAATCTGTACCTTGCTGCCAGATTGAGGGCTTTTGTCTATATCTGCTAGATTCATATCAGCAATCGGCTGCAAAATGTAGCGTGTCGATATTGTACCTTATCAAAGCATGTCCTGTCTTCTTTCAGAAGAATGCCAGATGTATTTTTTTTTGGGAACTTGCCTGTTAGAACAAGTATTGTGTGTTTTGATGCCCCAAATATAAGAACTTTTCAGGATTATACAACTGAGATAGTTCAGTAGTATAAAAAAATACTTTAAGTTTAAGAATTTTCAAAAGGCAAGAGTAGCGTAGAATTGCAGAAGATGCGCTGGTGTTTTGGGGGATTGGAGAGAATTAGCTCTATATTAACAGAGGTAGGTCCAGGTGATTATATCTTAATGCATTCGACAATGTTAATGCTAGTGATTTTTTCGTAGCATATGATTGCTGCATATCAGTATTGTACGGTGGACATGTGAATGAGTGGACCGCTTTATCAGCTGTTTGTGTGAGCCAATATTGCATGTCTGCATTGTTAAAGAATTTATTCCTGGATACTATGCCTAAGAATTATACTGGCAGAAATATGATTCAAATCATGTGCAAATTCTCATTATCTTTCATATTTGTTTGCAGATGCATGATCACCAGTTTAATTTAAAATAAAAAAATTCATTTGAGTAACTGCTCCCCCAAGTGATATGATTATATCATAATTCCATCTAATTATAAAACCAGCAAGTCTTTTGGCAGCTGTGAGGTATTTAAGCCAACCTGTTTGCCAGACATAAAACTTAACAGAGATTTATCCCAAACTGTTAATCTTTGTCATTTATTTTTCGGGATATTTCTGAAAGTTCGATACGTGTATTTCACATATCACAGCCGTTAATGTTAAAGTCAAACAGTGGACTGTTGTGGAAATCTCCACGGTCAGAGTACGCATTTTCATGGTTGATGAATCATTTCAGTTGAATTACGTTTTGAGCTGCAATAGTTTGTTTTTCCACTTTTTCCTGTCTGTCTTTCCAGATCCACCAATCACATTACCTGCTGTGGTTCCTGAAACACTTTCCATGGAAATACTGCTTTGTTTGCGCTAATTGACCTAAAGCAGCCATCATCAATTCCTCATCTCTTTAATTATAGAGCGCCCTTTGTGTGGGATGACCCAGTTCTGTATAGACCCCTCTGTCAGCAGTGCAGATCCTCCAATCACTCTTAATTTCGTTTGGCATTTGGCTCAGTTGGGCAGCCTTTGAACACGGACACAAAATGCATTCACAGAATGAACTGAACTGCTCTAAAAATAAAGACCAGCTGTCTGCAAGCTACTCAAACCACACTTTGTTAATATTAGTTTAGTGGTTTAGTATTTCTTTGTTAACAGTTCTTTCTCCTATCTTATTTAAGGCATATCATCAAGACTAATGTGCCAATGCATCAATTTGACAACAGCTGAGTCGATACAGCTTCTCTATGTCTATATTTTGTTTGTGTTTTTCTATATTTCTTGCATGACTTACTCATGTAGCACCACTTTTACCTTCCTAATGCTTAAAGAGTGTATCGATATGGGCTGTTTGCATTGGGCTGCAAAGATATTAGAGGGGGAGATTAAAAATTTAGAATATAAGCCCCCCCCCCCCATGTCAGGATTCTCCATTGCCTTCCAGGCAGAGTATTGTTTACTGTATCCTCTGGTCTCATTCTTAGCCTAAAAATAGGCATAGTGGGAGTATTACCAGGCGCTACTTTCACAGATCACCCTTCTGTGATTTAATACAGAAGATTGATTTTAGTGGCCAAGCTTCTCGTTTCAGCGGTGAAGAAGAAAAGCACAGGCCCGTGTCCCACAGACAGGTCTCTGCCAGGTTAATTAGGCCCAGAGTGTGTTACAGTGTGGATGCTGCTCCCCCAGTGTTAAATTTGAGAGAAATGTGCAGGCCGGTGCTGTTAAAACCCGTACAGTGAGACATTACTTCTGGTCTTTTTAAAGCAAAGGTTTGGTTTAGGCACTTTTCTTTTTGCTTTGTTGTTATTACTTGACTTTTTCCCATTTCCTCAGGGAATATACTAATTAGCGGATGCCATTCACAGCTGATTGGCTGTTTTTTTTCCTGATTTACTGAAAGGCAAAAGAAAAAGGGGAAAAGAAACATTTTATGTAATGAATAATTGTCCTGATTATGCCACAGATTATTAACCACCACCCCCCCCCCCCCCCCCAGCATCCATGTGATACTTATGCTGCGGTTTGGGGCAGAACCCTAGATTTACATTTGTAATGATATGTCAAATCGTACATGTCAGCTTTAGCGTAATGGTGTTTGATCGCGTTTCTCCGCGAAGGCCCCTTGTAAATGAAAAACAGAAGCGTTCCATTTTCTTGAGTGTGCGTCGCAGCTGTGTGAGTTCGCACAGAAACGCGTAAAATTTCTGACTCGGGATGCTGCCGGCGATTCTTCATTCCGTGTCCTTTTGCTAATACCTGTCAGTGGGCTCGTCTCGGAAGAAAGGAGAGGTCTTCTGTACTCCGCCCCAAGGGATAGATTAGCTAGTCGTCCAGTCTCCTGCAGTACTTTTGTACTTTCTGACAGGAATCAAGACAAACATTGTTCTCTCATTTCGAGTGACGGCCGCACCCTCCCTCTCGGGCATCTGAAAGTTAATGAATTTGTGTTGCGTCTCATTACTTCGCTTTGTGATGCAAACGTGCCATTAATTGTCGCTCCTGATGCACTGAATAGCCAGCCCTCTTTCTCTGTTGCTTCTGTTAAACTGCCTGTGCGCGTTTTTTTTTTTTTCTCTTTGCGGTAACGGAGTAATATAACAGCACTTGCACTCAAGGACGCCGCGAGGTTAATCCAACATCAGAACAGACCGATTGGATTGGATCTTCTTGACCCAGCTAGCCTGGCTGGATTTACAATGACTTTAAGCTTTCAATGCACTTAATATATTGGATCTTCACATGGTGTGATCTCATATTGTGGTAAAGGTAGATTCTAAAGCACACTAATATAAGGCTATCTTTTTTCCCCTCCCAGCAGTTTGGGTACAATAACGGCTACATGAACATGGCAGAGGCGAACGGCGTGCTCCTAGCAGCTGGTGATGTAAGTACCCTTTCCCCAATGCCCACACACTCTCTCCATCTTCCCATTTGGTCCTTTTATGCTCTGGGCAGGGATGCATGCAAGACAAATGAGGCCGATTCCCAGCTTTCAATGTCTTCTTCCTTTCTATGAAGTGCAGCGTAAGAAAGGGCGGTTTAATTAGACGTAGAAAGACTTCTCCATTACACAGTCCATCAAGCTGTCCTTCAGCTGGCCACGCATGCCCGGTGGTGCTGGGGCAGTGAGGGGGGGGGGGGGTAGCAACTCAGAAAATCCTCCACTGTAACAACAGCGGAGATTTATTTTATTCAACTGTTTGATGAGGATATAGGTCATTTGCATTTTGCAGTCTTTGCAGTTTTTGTGCAATTTCGGTATTATTTTAGGAGAACATACTGCAGCTAAAGGGAGGCTAATTCTGGGTTTGTGCTGATGATGATTATCAGGCCGATGTAGGGTAATACGTTGGGATGTTTGCTGTAAAAATGGACAGATGGGGTTTCGGCTAAGGACAGGCCTCGGTTACGTGTGGATGCCATTCCCCGTGGGGGGAAAAATTAGCAAAATTGTCCCCTTTGAAAATGTACAACCCTCCCCCACTCCTAAATTTTTCTGCGTAATTTCACTCCCATGAAGGTACATTTACGACTAGGCTGTATTAGGGATATTCGACTCGACACGACACACGATAACTCGATTATTGGTGAAGAATGATGTTGCATCTTTACTGTTGAGTTACATCATTGCAGGTTGGACCACTATTCTGTGCATGGACTAGGGCTGCGTATCTGTAAGGAGCCTTCTCTATCCCTCCCCTGGATAGCTAACGGTGCTATCAGCCCCTCCTGATGACATCTTCCTGAAACGAGCCTGACCCTGGATACTAAGGCCTCCTTCCACGGCACCGAGAACAACGGGAAGGATAGGGATCTGTGGCTGGGCTCGGCGAAGCTCGGTTAGGAATTGGGGGCCTAAATGAGGTGTAACGGATCTCGGGCACCTCGGCCCCCACGGTGCGAATCCCGCCCGAGAAGGATGGTCGTTCACACGCAGCTTATTTGCGTGGATGTTGGCCGAGTCGGGGGATCACGAGAGAAGTCGGCTATTTCAAGGCTCGGCTGAGGAGCGTGAGACGAGGAGCTGGAGGGTGCCGTGTGACAGCCGTGCTGCGTCAGGAGCCCCTCTCTCCATTTCATTCAGCTGGACCCCCCCGCCCCCTCCCCAAAAAAACACCTACACGTAGGAATCCGAGTTTGGGCAGAGCGTGGCCAGCCAGCCGGCAGAGGCAGCAGCAGCTGTTCAGAAACAGTTCAATCCCAGCTGTGGAGACGCGGTGTGTCAGGCTGCAGGCTGTTGGGAGTTCATACACCAGCCTCGCAGATTTGCATTTTATCAAAAGGAGCAAATGTTGCCGGTGTTGTGGTGCAGATGGCCCGCCGCTGCAGCGCGCATTTCAGGAGCTGGCAGCGGAGCCGGCAACCACATGTTCCTCTCACTTTTTTTTTTTTTTTGCTTTATTTTAAGCAGGATTTTTGGCATGTGTCGGTGTTGCTCGTTACATAAACCGAAGAGACATTTAAAAATGCGGTTCTCTAAAGGCAGTCATGTGATTTCACAGTAGATGCATTTTTTCCTCTATACCGCAGGCCGTATTAATCCTCTGAGTGTCGAGCCCAGGCAGAGGGTGTAATTGTAGGGTTGGCTGTGAGACCTACACTGGTCTCTCATTAGGGGCTTATTATGACACTGGGTGCTAGTTCTGCTTTTACACTGGATTCAAGAGTTTATGGTCATATGCAGAGTAAACAGTCAGCTCCACTATGCGATGAAAATCTTACTCTGTGTCCTTCTGGCCTCTGGGAAACATAAATACATACAAACAAACACAAAATACAGATCACAAATACAAACGAAGATGCTTACTGTAAGACAATAAATCCAATTACAATTGCAAACATAAATACCGGCACAAGGTGCAATGTGACACACAATGCAATCTAAACATAATGCAAATATTGCAAAGTGGATAAGAGAAAGCGGTAGATAAGGGGTCGGTCCTGTGTGGCAGGTTTTAGCGCAAAAGAAGATGAATTAGCACATCGCTGGTTGGAGGTAGATTGTGTCACCAGAGTCAGGGGTGCAGGGGGGAGGGGCAGTAGGTGGGAGTCATTCACAAACCTGAGGCATCTATTTTAATAGCAAAGCACTTAAAAAAAATTATGTTGATTAATTATTGCTGACAGGTAGTGTTTCATCCTTCCTTCCATTCATTCATCCATCCATCCATGCATCCATCCATCCATCCATCCTTCCCCCTCTCTCATATCTGTTTATCTTGCTCAGCATCACAGGGAGTCTGGCTGAAATTCCAGTGTCAAATAATATTTAATGGAGGCTGCAAATTCAGTTACCTTTATATCAGCTGTGGTTTTTCAATCATGGATCTTTCAGCCTGCTGATCAGGCCTGGATGTTTTTAAAGTGTGGATTCTCAGATGAGCAGTAGACAAGATGGCCTCCACCAGAAGAGCTCAAAAGGAAACCACATAGTTTATGATGGGGGTTCGAGTCGCATTCAGAAAGGAAAAAGGAAACCACTTCATAGCTTATAAGTAGCAGATTATTTTGGAAGGCTGGTGTGTAATTACTTGGCGTTTTGGCAGTGTCACATGACAGAGCCTCAGCCTGCTTATGTAATGAAAGTCTCCTTTATTGCTTTCCAAGAGGGGAAAATGGTAGTTTTAGTTTTGGTTTCACACAGGTATCACATGTGTCACTCGGCTTAATCATAAAATCATAATGAAATTAATTTAGTTTGTCGGCTAAGCTGAACTTTGAAGAAGTTTCCAATAAATTAAAGGATCTCTGAAAGTATACTTTCACCTGATATAGAAACGCTGAGTTGAAGCTGAGTATATTTTCAAAGCTGTTATTATGCAATTACACCTGAAACTTTAAACTAAGTCTCCCCACCCTCAACCCATGTTTCTCTCTTTCCATTTCTCGGTCCCATTTCCATACCATTTCCCCATTCAAACACACTCCCTGCACAAACACAGATGTCATAAACATAGTGGTTAGGGTTAGGGGTGGCCCAGTGCATTCTGGGAGCAGCCTCTCTTAAATGAATTGTGTGATGATGTGTGACTGGTCAGTGGAATCCACACTCTTAAACGGACAGCCCTCCTCCTTCATCCTCATTCCCTAGGTGGCTACTGAGCTTTGCTGAGCTTTCAGAACAATTTAAATGGATAATCAGGGGGCTGACGTGAATAAAGTGGATTTTGCATCTCTTAATCTGGGATCAGAGACTCATAAGCCTCTTCCAGTCCAAAATTAGGCTAGGTTCATGTGAAGAGACTGTAAAGTTTAGCGTGGTGTGAAGTGGACTCTATCGGGCCATGCGACAGCAGGCCCCAGGATACCACAATGTCAAAAATGACAGTGGGTATGTTTTGTGCCCAAGCAGATCCTCACCTCAGCCTGGGCTGTACCCTTCATATATGGGTCTAACTCTTATGTTGTGCGTCTATATTGTATGTAAGCTCATTGACTATTTATTTCAATAGAGTCACTGATTTAAGCATTCTTTCCCCTTAATGATGTCTGAGGCAACATTCTGCTTGCATTCTCTGATTCTGACTCAGGTCACTTGAATTATGTGATAGATCCTTATGAAGATTTTTTTTGTGCATTTGACTACTGTACAATGTGCTGTTCTAGCATGCAGTATCAAAGTGTGAAGTAATTTGCACAATAGTCTGTGAAATTGCACATTTGAGAATCATTTCAGGATATACATTCAGTGCCACTTTATTGGAATAATTCAAAAAAATATTCTTGACCTGTAAAATTTCATGAAAGGTGTACGGCCATCAACATACCGTATTTTAAAATAATGGCTCAAAATATGAAAATTGTGCATATAGCGTTCTTAGCCCATTTTTGCTGATAACCCTGTCATATTGAGAGTAGTTCGCTGTGGTTTCCATGACTCATGCCAAATGTGTTAAGACCTTGACATTTTCACCCAGTGAGGATCGTTAAGAAGCAAGGCTGCATAGTTGTGTTTTCAGGAACAGGAGGGCCGTCATTTCTCACACACTAAGCCAGTGGGGGGAGGGGGAGAGCAGAATTGTCATTTCGGAATGGAAAACCAATTTGATAGCTGTGAAAGAAATTGCTAGAAGGGCGAACGTAGTTATTAAACCAAAGAGAGAGGGAAGATGCTATTATTTGCTTGTGCAGGCACATCTCATCGATGCTTATCAGACTCGTGACTTTCAGAGTTTCGAAGTGAATCCACTGGCCAATGTCAGCGCTGTAATGCAGCGCAGGCTGCGTCAAAGCGCCGTAATAGCGGGTGTTTTAGTGCATTTCTGCAGCTACTTGCTCTTCTTAAACACCTGCGGACTGAAGGGTCGATGGCAAAGAGCAGGAAGCAGGACTTACCGCTGAAGGTAACAAGCTAAATTTAATTTCAGTCATATGGGACCCAACATGTTAGAAGCAGATTAATGACCGAACAGAGATCCCGTCTCGTGAAAGCAAACAGCTTCTGTGTAGCTACATATTGGAGGTAGTCTGGGGGTGGCATTCGAGGCCTTAGTGTTTATACAGCTGTGGGAGGGGTCTTGGCTTTCCTAGGGGATCGGTCCGAGGCCCGCTGTGAATCTGCAGACTGCAGACTTGATCGGGGAAGGTGAGAAATTCCATCACAAAGTGACAAAATAAAAGCAATTTAACTGTGACCGAAAGCTTTAATTCCAAGGCAGAGAGATTAAGCTGTCTGATGGGCAGATTTAAGGGCAGGAGGAAAGCGAACAAAGGGAAACACTTCTGGTCAGGGTTAATAAGCTCTGGAAATATCATTCAAAGCAATCTCACTGTGACATGTATTTTCTCCAGTTCTCTCCCAAACACACGTCAGCAGTAGCCAAATGTTTTTCATTTCTTTTCCAGAGACGGCCGGGTGGTTTTCTGGGGGAAGGAAGGGTTTGGGTTATTTAAATATTTTTCTTATAATTTAGATTTTATTTGGTGAACTCTATTTTTGATCTGTAAACTTTTGAGGAAAAAAAAAAAGACAAATATGCCCAAATTTAATCAGAGTAATAGTGGATCCACTGTTACAGCTGCAGTTCAAATGGAAATCTTACTTTGAATTCTCATCTTTCTTGTAGCAAACCTTCCACACGCCCAGCCTAGGCGATGAGGAGTTTGAGATCCCGCCCATCACCCCCCCTCCTGAGACGGAGCCGGTCTTTGGTGCATCCGAGGGGGACACGACCTTCCCAGGCACGCTGGACGCCCCCCACTTGCAGGGAGGGCAGTTCACCCCGCAGTTCCCCCCTCAGAGTTTGGAATTGCCCTACATCACCATCTCCCGCAGCCTGATGGAGCAGGATGGAACAGTCCACAATAACGTTCTTCCGGGGGTGAGTCCTGGGACGATGTGGTGGCTGCCTCAAGTGTGTGTGGGTGCACGTTCTCATGGGGATAAGACTTTTTAATGGTTATACTTACGGTAGTTTAGATTAATGCAGGGGTGAGATCCTGATGTTTGTGGCATTGTATTATGAAAATAAACAGAACATTAAGTTCAACCCAACTCATATTTTTTCTGGATTTTTATTGTGGTGTAGATTGTCTTGTTTTTTTCAGTCCTGACGTTATCAGAGTATGTGTGTATATCTATATAGTTTTACATATGCATACAGTCATACAATGACTTGTGTCCTATCGACTAACGCCTGATACTTACGTCTGAGGTTCCTTAAGAGCCTTAATAAAAGTAGACGTTGTGGACATTAGCGGGTGTTTTTTACCTTGTGTGTGGCATGCAGTAAGAACCATGCCGCTACGGAGGTTTAGTTAAGTGCGCGTGATATTGTATCAGGTGTGATACAGTATATTTGACCTCTCCCCTATAACGATCAAGATACACCAAGATTGACTCAATGGTTACTTGTATATTTGTTTAAAAGGTGTATCTCTGCACGCATTTGAAATAACTGAAAATATAAGATTCAACACACACACACACACACACCAGTGTATAATACGCATATATCATGTGCATAATATGCATACACAAATGCTTGCGTGTGCATATATATTTCTGTATCTATGGTGCTTCTAGAAGTCTTTTGTAGTGCTGACAGTAGTGTTACTATTTTTGTCTGCGCAGCTCTGTGTTTGAATGGAGAGCCGTATAGTGCAAAGCTGAGAAAAGCCTCCCCGGTTTTATTGTTACATTGACACAATAGGTGCATTCTATACATACAGGGTTCAGAGCCATAGGCTTTGGTATAAACAGCAGGTATGAGAGACTAGCATAGGCAGGGTGGCCATAGTACCTGTATGTGGGTCTTTATTGGGAATATAGGCCTTGTGTTTCACTGCACTTAGTTCATTACAACAGATGCTGTAACAGACGGCCTCTTCTTAATGCAGCTCGTGTGGAAAGTGGAATAGCTATCTCTGCTCAAAGGTATAGGCTTGGCAGAAACAGGCAGTGCAGCAAATCACTGTGAGATGAGGACTATAGCATATGAGTTTTTCCTCTGGAGTATTACACGTGATAACACTGTCAAACCGCAGTATACTCCGTGTGTATGTGTATGCGTGTCTGTATAGTTTCTTTAAATGTACAACTATATTCTGTATACCCAGCGACGTGTGTATAGTGTCTATAAAGTGTGTGTGTGTGTGTATGTGTGTGTATATATATATATATATATATATATATATATATATATATATATATGTGTGTGTATGTGTATATATATGTAAAACTATGGTTAATAGAATAAGCTGCAGTAAGATTCTGATCTCCTTTCTTTAGCTTAAATTTTTAAAAAGGTCGTTGCCTCCAACCGGAGGCCAGTTTATCTCCCTGTAATCTTCACAGACCTTCCCAGTCAGGTTCTCGCTTCCCTGTAATCTTTACAGACCTTCCCAGTCAGGTTCTCGCTTCCTTCATAGCACTGGAACACTGTAGCTCTCCTTCTCTCCTTAGAGTCAGATTTCTGGGATCCTCAACATCCTTCTCCTTGTTCTTGGCCCTGCTCTCCATACATGGTATCATTCTTACCTGCCTCTCAGCTACTGATATGGGCACTACTGTCGCCTGCTGTACTTCTCACCACACTGACAGAAAGCACTTTATTTTACTTCATAAACACAATCTGCTCCTGTTTCTGTACCCCAGGGTTCAGTTTGGGGCTCTCTAATAATAAGAAACGCTGCATTCTTTACTGCCCTGCCAGCCCCCTCAATAATGTCCTCTATTCATGACCTGAATCAATGGTGGAGTTACAGTTGTTTTTTTTTTTTTTTGTTAATATGGAAGTTCTGTTAGTTGGTGTGGGGTGGTGCAGTTGTTAGCACTGTTACCTCTCACCGCTAGG